TATACTGATTTTGAGAACTGTACAAGAATTGACCAAGAATTAGTGTAATTTCTAGCACATTCAATCTACCGTACACCAATTTCTACCGTATTCTATCAAAATCGACTCATTTAAACCGCCATTTCCTGTCAGTTCAGCTTATTTAAATTGCCATTTCCTGTCATTCGATTGATCGAGTTCATTCTTTGTGCCTGCCAGCCGGTTCAATTACCCAAAAAGCGTACTAGAGCGTACTAGAAGAACGTACATTTCTTAAGAAGGCTAGCTTTAGAAAATAACAGCTAGATTATTCATTGAATGCCTAGAATGCCATGATTTTTGCCACTTCTACACTAATCAAACAAAATCACCTTCAAGAAAGCCGTGCAACAGTTTGCATCCTTTGTCAATAAGCTTTTCCATCTCGATATCTTGTTAGTAATATCTCGTACACAAGAATAATTAATGTATCGTAAACCCCTGGTAATAGTATTACTCGCTTTCACGAAAGTTGATCCTTGTGAAGACTCAAGCTCTTTTTTGAAAAGCTAAAACCTTGTTCAATGATTTTTTTTATATAAACTCACCAGAAATTCGTCAAAACTTTCAAATTCTTGAGAGAAGACGTGAATTTTTAACTCAGAATGCTCATTTTTGAGATGTGCCATGAGAAGTCGACGACATGGGAAAGCTTTTGGGCAAGCAAAACAAGAGAAATCGTCTCCATCTGGAATTTGACTCAAATAGTCCTCTAGTTGTTGTTGTTTTTTGTCATTTCATAGGGAAATTGAGTCTTGAGGTAAATTTCCTGAAGCTGAATTTCCCCACCACAGTCGACTCTCTCTATAACTCTATAACGGAACTCTATATAGTGAAAGCTCTCTAAAGGATGCTCTCTAAAGAAATGTTGGTCCCGGCCGACGCTAAGCTATTTTAAATATAAGAAAAAAAACTTTATATAGCGAAATTCTATATGAAAACTCTCTATAAAGGAGGAAAATCTTGGAATCGCTTATACAGGATGACCAAACAACAACAACGTCCTATTATGTCCGCAACAACGTCGTATTATGTTATGAGCCCCATTTGGCCCTTTAATGTGGGATGAAAGAGCATTCCAACATATCCAACAACACGATTTGAGAAGAAATTTCTAGCCGATTTACATAAAACTAAATCTTTATGCAGAAGAGAAGGCCTTGATCTAGCTTCTGACTTCTGTAGACTAAATTGGGGGTAGGCTACTTTGCGCCAAATTTTTTTTGCGCAACCACTGGGTTGTTTGCGCAACTCGCCATAACTTTCTTCTAAGTAGACCAATCTTTATCATTTTAATGTCATTTTGTTGCACTTATTGAGATCTACAAAATGACATCAAAATGATAAAGATTGGCCAACTTGGAAGAAAGTTATGGCGAGTTGCGCAAACAACCTAAACAACAAAAATTTGGCGCAAAGTAGCCTATCCCCTAAATTGCTCATCGATCAAAGTTAGTGCGGTATAGAAAATCGATTACGGTGGAAAAGCCGTGGAATAACTACAAATCCTAGAATATTTAGCACTAACCTTGTCAATAAACAAGTCTACTGTACAGGGTGACCAAGAATTACCGCAACAACGTCGTATTATGTTATGAGCCCCATTTCACTTTTTGCTTACCCGTTTTTATGGCTTTTGTGTATTTTTCTTATTTTATGGTATCATTACTAATTTTCAATGCATTAGTATGATTGTTTTCAGGAATGGTGATAGCGTCTCCACATCGACAATCGATCTTTGAGCTCAGGCGGCAGCGTGTTCGAGATCGTTGTTCGGCAGCGAGATCTCAAAGCGCCTGAATGCCCTCAGAAGCCTCGTTTCTCGAACCATTCAACGTTATGAAACTCTGGGCACAGTTTCTGATCGCCCTGGAAGAGGTGCAAAACGAACAGCGGTTACTCCGGCTAATGACAAGAAAGTGCGCGATCTTTAAGAATAAACCCTAACCAATCGGCTTCAAGTGTGTGAAAGTAAATGCGGTGAATTATTTTGACTTGCTAAATAAGGAGGTTGTTCCGTGAGCTCAACGCCACTTCAAGAATCGAATTTGGACTTATCAACAAGATGGTGCGCCGGCTCACAAGGCAAAGAAAGTCCAAGAGTTTTGTTCAAAGACCTTCGCGGACTTCATCTCGTTTTCTGAGTGGCCACCCAGCTCACCCGATCTTAACCCATTGGATTGCTCAATCTGAAGTGTTCCTAAAGCCAGGGCATGTGCAAAAGCACATAAAAATATCGAAAGTTTGAAGAAGGCGCTCATCAAAGCATGGGATACCCTCGATGATGCCTATTTGCTCATCGCTTGGTCAACGCGCTTACTGTTACTGTTACTGTTATATGTTGTCAACTGTTATATGTTGGTCAACGCGTTTCCCAAACGTTCGCAGGCCTGTCTGAATGCCGATGGAGGCAAATTTGAATTTAATTGTTAATTTGTTACTGTTCTAAAATTCTCTCTATATAACAGAGACTTCAAACAACGGAAAGCTCTGTATAATGGAAATTTTTTTTATCTCTTCCATACCGTTATAGAGAGAGTCGACTGTATTTAGATAAAACTAGATTGTGTTTCTCGCGAGTAATGCGCTTTCTACAAATCAGCTACAAAACAAGTCAGCTTTTAAAGGCGCCCGTAATCCAACAAAATAGAATTTTCTCCAATCTATCTACTTTGGTGCCCTCTGCTTTTGTGTGTGCAGCACATGGTGAGCAAGATGTGTGAGCAAGATACCAAAAGTGGATAAAATTAGAGGCAGGATCACGAGAGTTTTTGCAAAGTTGATGTATTTTTTTAAAAACGGATTACTTACGAGAAACAGTTCGCTTATGATACAATAACTGACCCGTTCTTCCCTGAGCATTTTCTGAATGTTTATTTCGCACATGACGTCTTAGAGAGATCTGTCCAGAAAACCGTCGCCCACAGCTTTCACAAACAATGTCACCAACTGTGTTTAGTTCAACAGCTAGCTGAAAAAACTCTTATGGCTGAAAGCTGAAAAAACTCAATGATTTGTTAAGAGATCAACAGATGTCAAGAGATCAACAGATCCAGCTCACCAAATGAAATGAGCCATAGATCATCGGAGGCAGAATTTCACGCTGCCGGATATCGGATTCGTTTTTGGCAAAATGATTCTGAACCGCGCGCATTCCGGCAAGTATCTACTCGAGTATCTACTCTACTCGAGTATCTACTCTACTCGAGTATCTACTCTACTCGAGTATCTACTCTACTCGAGTATCTACTCTACTCGAGTATCTACTCTACTCGAGTATCTACTCTACTCGAGTATCTACTCTACTCGAGTATCTACTCTACTCGAGTATCTACTCTACTCGAGTATCTACTCTACTCGAGTATCTACTCTACTCGAGGGTTCGAATCGACTCATTTTTTTTCGTTTTTAAAAATTCTATTCTATTAGGTTGTCCGGAAATAAATGAGCGTTTTGTATTGTTTATTATTTGGGTACATTTTTCTCAATAAAGTACTCTCTGTACCTTGTAATGTTATATACCATTAGAAAGCTGAGTTCGCGCTCTCTTTAACCATGCTTTTAAATTTTGTTGAAAACAAAATTTTTTGCGAATTTTAAGCTTCGCCGTTTTAGATGTCCGAAACCAACTTTCGCCAGATTTTCTTTTATGAGTTCAAACTCGGTCGCAATGCAGCTGAAACGGCTCGTAACATTAACGAAGTTTGGGGTCAAGGCAGTGTCGACCAGTCAACAGTGCGAACTTGGTTTCAAAAATTCCGAGGTGTTGATTTTGATCTCGAAGACCAAGAAGGCCGTGGCCGTCCTGTTGAACTCGATGACGACGAACCAAAGACACTGATGGAAGCAAATCCACGTACGACTATTCGAGAGCTTGCGGAGGAGCTTGGCGTGGACAAGACGACCATTTCTGACCGCTTGAAACGGATTGGAAAGTCAAAAAAGCTCGATGAATGGGTGCCGTACGAATTAAACGAAAATCAAAAAAATCGTCGTTTTGAGGTGTCGTCTGCTCTTCTTCAGCGCAACAAAAACGATCCATTTCTCGACCGGATCGTAACGTGTGATGAAAATTGGATTCTCTACGACAATCGGCGACGTTCCGCTCAGTGGTTGGACGCCGGAGAGGCTCCACAACACTTTCCAAAGCCAAATTTGCACCAAAAGAAGGTTATGGTGACTGTTTTGTGGTCCGCAGCCGGTGTCATCTATCACAGCTTTCTGAATTCGGGCGAAACGATTACGGCAAAGAAGTACTGCCAACAAATCGACGAAATGCACCAGAAATTGCGGCGAATGTGCCCGGCATTGGTCAACAGAAAAGGTCCAATTCTTCTCCACGACAACGTTCGTCCGCACGTCGCACAACCGACCCTGCAAAAGCTGAACGAACTGAGCTACGAAACTTTGCCTCAACGGCCATATTCGTCGGACCTCTCGCCTACCGACTACCACTTTTCCAAGCACCTCGACAACTTTCTCCGGGAGAAATGCTTCAAAACTCAAGACGATGCCAAAATCGCCTTCGCCGACTTTATCGCCACCAGAAGCCCGGACTTCTATGCTACCGGCATAAATAAAATTGTTTCTCGTTGGCACGAATGTGTTAATTGTAATGGTTCTTATTTCGATTAATAAAGTTTTGTTTGGATCAAATTATGGTATTTTAAATATTCAAGTTGAAAACGCTCATTTATTTCCGGACAACCTAATAAAAATCTATTTCTAAAGCTTTAAAGATAAACGATAAGAAATCGCGACTCACTTTGTGAACGTTTTTGATATGTTCTTTCAGTTTTGAGTTCGCTTGACAGGGCTTCGTGCAAATCGGGCAAATTGGTTGTGCTCCGATTAACAGCTGCACCTTTGTTAGCTGAAATTTTTTTAAAACATAGATATTTTTCTAGAAGCCTTACATTTTGCCAATCATGAATCTCTGGATGAGTCAAACAGTTAGCCCCGTTCTTTTTGGAGAATGTCTCTGTTGTAGAAGTGACAGTACTTTTAGGGCTTGAAGCGATTTTCTCAATTTTTCGGGTGTTGATCTGAAATTTGCAGTTCAATTTGTCTTTTAATTTTTCAAACTCTAAGGATTCTTTTTGGTTTCTCGGGTTGGGTGAGGATTTTTTGCACAACTTTGTCCACATGAAAGAGACGTCCAAGAGCCGCATGATGGTCGGCTTTCTGCTATTATTATTATACCATAAGTATCCTTCTCAATGCTCTTTCTTACTATTGTCGGCTTGTTGCTCACTACTTTTTCATCCGCTTCATCTTTTTCAGTTGTCGAACTTATTTCCTCTTTGATCTCTGAGGAATTGATGATATACTCTGCTCGGGAATTGATGGTATACTCCGGTATTCCTCTGCTTGCTAAAATCTCAGTTAAATATTGATCCAAAAGAATACTTGAAGCATTTGTAAGGCTTTTCGAGGCAGTCGGGGACAAATTGGAAAAACTGGGTTCTCCTGATGTTCGGGAAATTACGCGAATAACCCGTTTCGTAGGCTAAATGATTTTATTTAGAGCTAGCTAAATCTACAGGGTGGCTGAAAATTACGTGCGCCAAAGAAAACGCCATAATTTAATTTTCTTTCAAAGAAAATGTAAAAATATTTATTTATATAATAGTTGTAACAAAAGCATTTAATAATTACAAGAAATTTTCGAAGCGACCTCCATCCGCTTTGATACAGGCTTCAATTCGCTTCTTTACAGAATCGACGGTGCGTCGAAGATAATTTGCATCTAAGTCGTTCCAGATTTTGATCAATTTTCGACGTAAATCATTCAAATTGGTGATTTTCCTATTTCTCAATTGTTCTTCCATAAAACCCCAAACCGAAAAGTCTAACGGATTGAGATCCGGGCTGTTTGCAGGCCATTGATCCTTCGTCAAAAAAGAGCCAATTTTGGTTTCGACAAAGCGAATTGTTGTTTTGGCTCCGTGGGCCGGCGCCCAATCTTGTTGAAGGGTCAAATTGGGATGGCTCCTCTTCCATAGCACCACAGCTTTCTCAAGAATCTCTTTTTGATAGACTTTTGCGTTAATCTTCACATTTTTATCGATAAAAACCAACGGGGTCTTGCCCGAAGCACTGATTTCACCCCAAACCATCAAACTTTTTGGAGACAGACCTTTTGTAGCGACTTTTCGTTTACGAGTGCTCTTGAGAGCTGGACTGAGAAGTTGACGGTGATTTTGTGAGTTTTTAGCCACTTCCAAGGTGAAAATCTTCTCATCGGACCAAAGAACATCGTCAATGCGCCGCACCTTGAAAAAAGCTCGCAATTTCTTGCATTTCTCCTTCCGGTTTTGCTTGGCTTGATCGATGAGCACTTGCCCGTTTAACAGTCGATAACTTCGAAGTCCGAGCTCATTTTTCACTATCGATTGAACCGAGAAACGCGAAATTTGAAGCTGTTTTGCCATCTTGTTCAAACTACGATCGTCTTTTCGCTCGATCCTCCTCTTGATGATCCCACGCATCTTTCGGGTGTTAACGGTCCTCTTTCGTCCTCTTCCGGGCTTGGACTGAACATACCCCTCATCTTTACATTGCTTTACGATCTTCTGGACGGTCCTCAGAGCCACCCCAAGCCTCGATGCGATCGACGAGTTCTTCATGCCACTCGTCGCCAGTTGTGCGATTGCGTCCCGACTAGCGCACGTCTTTGTCATGACCTAGAAAACAACTTTTTTAACAAAAAATTAATAGACAACGATAAAAAGAATATTAAAACACAAAAAGATGAATAGTAATGCTTTATACATTGTTTAAAACTATGATGCTGATGCTGCGCGCACGTAATTTTCAGCCACCCTGTAGTAATCATTATGAAACAATTATTCTGCAATACACCTTAAACCCTCACCTCCACATCAGTCATTTCGCAGTTCAAATCAGAAATAAAAAAGTCTGATGGGGTGATTGTGCAAAAGATTTTGTTTGGCTATTCGTGGCGGGACCTAAGTCAACTATTCGTGGCGGGACCTAGGTCAACTATTCGTGGCGGGACCTATCTCTTTCTCTCATTTTCTTTTCACTCTCGAACCAATTACACCCGCAAATTATGGCAAGGTGTTTTTGGCTTTTATTTTTGAGCATATAACCTCTACATAGATCATATAATATAAATCCGATTTAGTTTTTCATCTGTTTTTCATCTGTTTTTCATCTCTTTAAGAGTCAGTAAAACTAAAAATTAGCATACTTTTACTTAAAAAGGCGGCTAAATTTGGTAAAAATTATGGAGTTTTGGTGCGGCTATTGCTTCTGACCTTGTTTGTGATATATATTAGGTTGGTGCAGATGAAACTTCCATCACACTTGTTTGTTTATATTTTGAACCTAATAAAAGTTTTTATTGAAGATATTTGTCTGTCTGAAAGAGCGTCTCTTTGCGCGTCTTTTGGTATCTAAGACTTATGCGTTTTACTAAATTTGAAGTAATTTTTAGCTTCTAGAAAATGGTTGACCAAAAATTTCGAGTGCGGGTTTGCTTGTTGTATGATTTTAAACAAGACAGAACGGCTCCGGAATCTCATCGTGCTCTGTGCGAAGCATTCGGCGATGAAGTGTTGTCCGAACGTCAATACCGGACTTGGTTTCAGCGCTTCCGAGACGGTGATGAAAGTTTGGAAGACGAACAACGATGAGTTGAAGAACGCTATCGAATCGGATCCATGCCAAACAACTCGGGAGCTTGCAGAGCCGTTTGACTGCGACCATACAACCATTCTCGGTCATTTGCACGCAATTGGTAAGACGAATCAGTGTGGAAAATCGGTGCCACATCAGCTCAGCGATGCAAACAAGGCGGCTCGAGCTACAATGGCCGGAATTCTCGTCCGCCGCGCAAAGACGGCCGGTTTTCTCGACTCCATTGTTACGGCAGATGAAAAGTGGATATGTTACGACAACACAACGAGAAAACGGCAGTGGTTGGACGCCGGTGAACCGCCAAAACCGACTCCCAAACCGAATATCCACGGAAAAAAGGTGATGCTTTGTATTTGGTGGAATAGTAAAGGTCTCGTGTATTTTGAGGTGCTGGATTCGGGCCAAAGAGTCACGGCAGATCTCTACAAAGCCCAATTGAGCCGCGTGGACCAGGCATTGCGTCGTCAAGGCAATAACACGGCGACTACAAAATTCCTCCACGATAACGCTCGACCCCACACCCCGAAGATCACTCAGCAGAAAATCGAGGAATTGGGCTGTGAAGTTCTGCCTCGTCCGCCATATAGCCCGGACTTGGCCCCATCCGACTATCACTTGTTTCGGTCGATGCAGCACTCTTTAGCAGAAAAAAAATTCAAAAACCGCGAAGAAGTTGAAATCTGGGTGTCCAACTTCTTCGAGTCGCAGTTGCCCGAGTTCTTCGAAAAGGGCATCCATTCTCTGCGTGGAGTCATTGATAATGATGGCGCAAAGAGTCATTGATAATGATGGCGAATATCTTTTGGATTGAGGTTCTGTATTAGGATTTTTATCATAAGTTTTGTTTATGGTTTCAACGGAAGTTTCATCTGCACCAACCTAATATAAATACTTTATTTAGAAAGAAATAAAGTGCGAAAACGACATGAAAAATGTACTAGATAAAAGATCACAAAGTCACTTGAAATGCAGCGAAATAGCCCTTTTAAAATCAGACACCGTGGAGATCCAACGCAACTTGTCGGGAAGGGCATTCCAAACTTTAGTCACACGATTTACAGCTCTAGAGAAAGCTCTAGAGAAAGCTCTAGAGGATTTAGAGAAAGCTCTAGAGGATTTAGAGAAAGCAGATTCGGGATGCAAGATAAAAGAGCCACGATAAAAGAGCCACGATAAAAGAGCCACGATAAAAGAGCCACGATAAAAGAGCCACGATAAAAGAGCCACGCCTAGTCGCCAAAAGCCTCGAGTTTAGTCGAAAAAATTTTTTAAAGAGAGGGTTTTGATGTTTTCCTTACTTGTGGAGTATCCGGGGGAGGTCTTTCAATATCCGGGGGGAGGGGTAACATTTTAAGATCCGGGGGGTAAAATTTTAAGATCCGGGGTAAACTTTCAAAAACCAACCAAATGCCCAAAAATGAATATCGCATTCTGAAAAAAAACTTTTGATAGTATCCTAGTTGGGGGACCACTTTTTTCTTCAAAACCACATGTGGGTTGTGGATCTGCCGGACCCACATCAACACATAAAACTATCTCAAAAAATGGTTTTGAAGAAAAAAAATGACCCGCCAACCAGGATATTATTACATTTCTAATAATGACATAAAAAAATTTTGTAGAAGTTACGTTTTTGATCGAGTATCACCTCGAATCACGTAATCAAGTAATCACCTCATAAATTGAATATCTTTACGTTTGAAGGGAATTTGCCACCAAATCACTTAAGCGGCTGAATATCTTTAAAAGGGGTCGTGTATAACGTATATAAAATTTTACCCCCCCCCCGGATATTGAAAGACCCCCCCGGATACTCCACAAGTACCAGGAAATGAAATCAAATGCAAAAAAATGGGGGGTGGGACAAATGCGACTTTTTTTGCGCACCTGGACATTTGCGCACCTTTTTTTTGCTGGAAAATGCCTTAGGAAAGGTCGTAGAGCTTCAAAAATGTTTTCATACAAGGGAATCGTATGCGTAGATTCCGAATTTCGACAAATCAGACCTCGCTGACACGTCAAATTTGGGCTAAAAGGCAAAAACTGCGAAAAAGCGTTAAGTTGCGTAGTCCCACCCCCAAATGAAATGCAGAAAAATGAAAAGAATGGCAAAAGGGAATTTTTGTGCGGGTTACGGTAGTGCATCCACGCTTCAGAAAGCACGCTTTGGCGCCATTTACAATTTACTGTGTTGGACTGAACGATGAAAGACAAAGAATTTATCAGCAACACAAAATTTCGTAATCCTAAACTTTTTCGCTTTGACTTTTCTCTCTGATCACACAACCGAGGCATTTTATTGACAGTGATGAGCACGTTTTGTGAGCCCACCATTCACAGAGTTCACATTTTATCCATAATTTCCCCTCATCTTCACTCGTTTGAAAGCAGACGGCACATCTGAAAGACTTTTTTTCAATTAGAAATACTAAATAAAGAACTTTGTCTAACAATTTATCAAACAATTTGTCAAATTTGTCAAATTTTTGAATTTATCGAATATTTGAATCGTGAAAACGAATTAGAAACGATTCTAGACTCAACAAAATTGACATAAACATATAGACACAATAAAGTGGCTCAAGTTTAAGAAATTTATTGGAATATGCTTTGAAATTGCTCATTTCTGAAAGTAAATTGATTGTGCCTTGTTCGTGAGCGTTTCTCTATCCAATTTTCTTTCTCCAACCTCTTTTCCGTAGCACAATCGAACCCATATTTGACCATCAAATCTTCGGATTTCACTTTTCTTCTTTGGAAGCTTGTGCTTGAGTTTTGTTTTTCCTAAATTATGAATTCAATAGTATTAGTACTTTATTAGTACTTTATCAGTACTTTAGAGTACTTTATTAGTACTTTAGAGTACTTTTTTAGTACTTTATTAGTACTTTAGAGTGCTTTATTAGTACTTTAAAGTACTTTGGAGTACTTTATTTTCTGTAAACCTTTTGCAAAGTGTCGACTGAAGAGGTTTCTCTTGAACTACCCGCTTCAATATCATCACAATTCTCTTGTTTCACTTGAGCATTGAGCTGAAACTATTTAGTTGATTTGAATCAAGAATCTTCTATCTTAACATTCATATTTGTACAGGGTTGCTGAAAAGTTCTGATACCTTATGAAACACTTCTTTTGAATGGTAAATATTGAAAAACTTTCTAAACTATGTTGTTTTTCAGATTCTCCACATATTTTTACATTAACAGCCGACGTTTCAGCTCACTAGCTCTATTCGAAAAAGTTTTATGCTAATTTCTTTCTGATGTGCGTTAATGCTCGTTGGCCTCATGAGCAACAAAGAAGAAAAGGAACGTCGTCCATTTTGTCAAGCCATAAAATCTCTTTTTGATTGTTTTTACTACTTAATTTCACTTTTAATATTAACTAAAAAAAAGCACCAAAAAGCTTTTGAAATTCTGCCTCCGATGATCTATGGCTCATTTCATTTGGTGAGCTGGATCTGTTGACCATCCCTTGTCAAATCATTGACTCCAACGGAATGGCAAACGATAAAATGGATGACTTTCCTTTTCTCCTTGTTGCCCATGAGGGTGCAACCAACGAGCATTAACGCAAATCAGAAAGAAATTACCATAAAACTTTTTCGAATAGAGCTAGTGAGCTGAAACGTCGGCTGTTAATGTAAAAATATGTGAAGAATCTGAAAAACAACATAGTTTAGAAAGTATTTTCAATATTTACCATTAAAAAGAAGTGTTTCATAAGGTATCAGAACTTTTCAGCCACCCTGTATAGTCAAGCTTGTTATCTCCTTTCTATTATCCTAGGCCTAACTCACTAATAGACCTAAATCATCATCTACCTCATCTTTCTATCATCCTATGGCCTAAATCATCAACAGACTGATTTCATTGAACTTAAATTATACAAATTGATTCGCTCATCAGTTTTCCAACTGACCATTTGATTGAGAAGATCCATCGAAGTTTGCGATTTTTCGATTGACTCTTCTTCAACTTCCTTCTTGACTTTAAATAGCTCATCTAGCGGTAGGGATTGAGTCTAGAGCTTTTGACATTATTACGACAAATCAAGTTGTTTACACTAATTTCTTTCGGTCGACTGAAATTCGGATTCATCGGATTGTTGCTATGAGGTCGGTTCTCCAAGGCAACGCAATTCTTCTTGACATAGTATGGCTTTTTGGAAGAAATCTGTGACACCATTGAATAAACTATTTATTTAAAATCACCGATCGTTTTGCGCCAATTAACGTTTTGCTCCATGGCTCGTTTCGGCAACCATCTTTGACAGATTCACGAGTTGAAGTGTTTTCACTTGTTTCACAAAGTTCGTCGTAACTTTTCACTGGTTGTTGATCAAGAAAAGTGGCTTTGCTCAAGTTTGTCACATCTCTAATCTCTAAAATTTATGATTTTCAAGATTTATATTGAATATATTCATGTGCTAAGATTGAAATCTTTTACTCACGTTGTAAATGATCATTTTTATGCCGATAATTCTTTAAACCATTGATTTAAAAAGCTATTTAGAAGTAATCAATTCATTCATTGACCTACGGTTTGTTCCATTAGAAAAACCTAATAGAAAAACCTAATTTTCTATAAAACATTGTTGAAATGTTGAAAAATATTTTGTTTCTGGACTTTTGTTTTCTTTTGCTTTGTGATGCAAACTTTGGTAGTCAGAGTAACGACTCGATTACGCCATTTAGACACTTTGCCTTAAAGAAACCTACTTTGACCTCAATAGAAAAAAGAAAGAGAGCAAAAAAAAGTTAGGTTTATATTGGGTTGTCCAGTTCTGAGTGCAGAAAAAACGAATCCTATCCAAAATACAAGTTTGACAAGTTTTAACAAGTTCTAACAAGTTTTATTGATTTTTAGAAGCTTTTAGTTTTATTTTATTGGGTTGTCCAGTTATGAATGCGCGTTTTTTACTATTTTGTAAATTTCTCATGTAAATTAGATACCGAAATGAAGAAAAAGATATATACAGTCGAACCTCTCTATAACGTAACTCACGGGACGGCTATAGCTTACGTTATATAGAGGTTTACGTTATATAGAGTGCCGTTTTATATGGCTTAACGTCGGCCGGGACCGGTCACGCCTTACGTTATAGAGAGGTTTACGTTATATCGAGGTTCGTTATAGAGAGGTTCGACTGTATGAGTATTATTCGAAAGCTGAAGATCTCCTCTACATTTTGATATAAAAAGTTTTTGAATTTGTCCAGCTTTTGGGCAAATTGACTGCACAGAAGAAGAGGTAGCCCAAAAATGGAAGGGTGCCTTTGGATCAAGTTTTGGCTCCGCTCAAATTGAGTTAACCGTTTGATGTTTGGCCAATAGATATATCAATACAACTTTTTTTTAAATATAACCATTTCAGAGCATCTTTACTTTTCTTTTCTTTTCTGGGCGGTTATTTTACACCATAAAATTTGAGGAATAGCTAAGCTGGAATGGGTTTTTTTCGAAAACGGCCTCTCCCTTTGTGCAGTCAATTTCCCAAAAAGTTGAATAAATTGAAAAACTTTTCATATCAAAATGTAGAGGAGATCTTCAGCTTTCGAATGATATATAACACTCATATACATCTGTTCGATATCTTGAGAAATTTACAAAATAGTAATTCATAACTTCATAACTAATTCATAACAAAATAGTCATTCATAACATAATTCGAATAATACTCATATATATCTTTTTCTTGATTTCGGTATCTTGAGAAATTTACAAAATAGTAAAAACGCGCATTCATAACTGGACAACCCAATAGCAAAATTTTCAGAGAAATCTGTTCAGCCAATACCTTTCTATCACTATTTATCAAATTTTATGCAAAAATGAGCTTTTGCGCTTGGATTTTCTTGAAAATGGACCTAAATTGGCGTAAAAAAATAGAAAAGTGTACAATAAACTATTGAGAATTGAAAGCTTTGTAAAATGAACCACTTCACCATTCAAATAAGTATCCAATTCAGTCGTTAGACCAGCACCCAGAAACTCAAAAGCATGTCGTCGAACTTCGGAAAGGGTCTAAATTAGAAATGTTCCTTTAGAGTACGTTTTCTAAAGCCTGTCAACTTTTTAAAGCTACCGTAACCCCATAATCTTCGTCCGTCTACTTTTTGTCTGTTTCTTTTTGTCTGGCTTTTGTCTATGTGCGGTTCACGATGGGTATAAAAGCGTTATGTCGAATAAAACTACGGTAAGATTACGGTAGTCTGCAAAAATTTCTGTTTTAGAAGTCAGTTCTGATCTAGAGTCCGACTTACACTTCGGATCCGTTCTCGGAGATTCCAATCCAGAAATGTGTTCACTGTGCTCGATGTCTGTTGAATTAGTTCATCCTTCAGTTTGTCTTTTATGCCGATTAGACTTTCCACAGATAGCTCTTAAAAAGGCTTATCAGACATTTGATACGCACCGCGCCCCTTTTGCCATTGACAATCTAACAATTGCCATTGACAACTTTGAGCTCAAATTTCTTGGTGCTGGGCTATCCAATTTAAATATTCTTGGTGTCATTAGATGCGTCAAGTCTTTCTCTATCGATTGGTACAAAAACTATTTAAATTGGACAGCTCAACACCAAAATATTTGAGCTCAAAGTTAGATTGCCAATGGCAAAGGGGCGAGGTACGTATCAAATGTCCCACAATCCTGAAAAAGGTTCAAATTTTTCCATTAGTATTTCTTACCATCATCGTCTTTGTTAGTGGATTTCTGTGGCTTTCGACGAGACATGTGATCCGTTTGAATGTGCTCGACGAGTGTCGTATGATCTTTGCCAAGCCATTCACAGCCGTCAACTTTACAAGCGATTAGGTGGCTTTTCTGAAGTCATTGTTTTTGAAGGATTCAATTTTTAAAAAAAACAACCTGGCTTTTCATTTGTGTTCAGATCTCACAAGGCTTGTTAGACAGCAAACGATCGTTGTTAGACAAGAAAATATTTCAGAAAGATTTTAAATGATCGAAAGCAACCAGATGTACCCGTTGAGTACATCTGGCTGATTTCCAAAGCAACAATTGGCTCGTTGCCAGGCTCAAGTGATCCGAATAAGACTCTACTTTGTAGTTTGATTGTTTGTGTGTTAAAGAGCTAAATCCTAGCTGAAGAAAACTGTTAAACTGAAGAAATCGTCGAAAAACCTGAAGAAATAGCTTTAAAGTATAAAGTAGTTTTAAAAATTAGCATATCCGTCTGTAAATTTGTATTTAAATGACCTTTGCTTTGCTTTTGCTATTTCCCTTCTCAAAATCTTTTTCTCATTTCTCCATTTCCCTCTTTCGCCCACGGAAAAAGGTGAGCTTTTGGCTTTTAAAATTTTACTTCCCATTCATTTGTAGTTTCATCCGCTGGATTATGTAGTGTGGGGTGCATAGGTTTTTCTCGTAGCCCCTCTTTTGTGTTTGCTCATCTATTGTATTCAAATGAGCCTTTTCGTGTTAGAGGTTTACACTTGAACGCACACGATTTGCGCTATGAACTGTGCTGTATATATTTCTTTTGATAAAAGCTCTTAAACGACTCTAAAATAAACAATAAACGATGAGCATTTTGCCTTTTGATTCAATATTTCTGTGCAATAACTTGGAGAAAGCTGTGAGAAAACCCTCGAACTAATCTTTTCACTTAAGCGCTTTGGGTACTTGTTTGGGGTAGCTTTTTTTTCTTCAAAAGTGCTTTTTCTGGGGCAGTTTTTTGCGTAGATTACGAATTTTATAGTGGCAGCTTGGGGAAATGCGTTTTAGACCGACTTTTAGAGGCTTAAAGTCGCCATCTCTGTAGTATTCCTATAAGAAGGGCTCAAAAAGAGCTTATTGAGCCAAATGAGCCTTTTCATGTACAAAAATACTTTTTTCTGAGATAATTTAGAGTCCTTGAAGCAATTTTAACCAAATTCGAGTTGAAAATTTGAAAATAAGAATTTTGCGAGATTTTCACCCACGTGGTCCCCCAAAACCATGAAAAATTAGAAATTTTCATTTTAGTTTTTTAAGATTTGCTATCTTCATGTTCTGGGCACTCAATTAACCCGAGGAAAGTGTTTTTGCATGTAGAAAAAATCCTCCGAGGCCTTAGATAGGCTCTCCTCCAGTACAAGCCCGCAGTGAAGTACACTATAGAGAAAACGACTTGGACGTGGTTAAAATTGCATGAAGGACTCTAAATTATCTCAGAAAAAAGTATTTTTGGACAGGAAAAGGCTCAATAAGCTCTTCTTGAGCCCTTCTTATAGGAATACTACAAAGATGGTGACTTTAAGCCTCTAAAAGTCGGTCTAAAACGCATTTCCCCAAGCTGCCACTATAAAATTCGTAATCTACGCAGAAAAGCACTTTCGAAGTAAAAAAATTTGGTCCCCCGCCCCCAAACCCACAAGTATCGCGCTTTATCTTTTCCTATCTTAACACATTGTTTTTTCCTGTAAACATTCATGATCTTTAATTTTCGGGAGAAGATGCCATGCCAAGATCGCTGTGCATTGGGATGTATCGATCGCTTGGAGGATTGGCTCTACCAACGTGGCTACTGCAAGTTGATCTTCGGCTTTCTAAATCGCTTCATGAAACAACTTGGAAATGTGAGTTTCATTTTTTTATTTTGTTTATTAGAAAGACTTAAAGAAACTATTTATTAAAGTTCCAAAAGCTTATCTATGTCTAGCTGTCTAGCTGAGCTATGTCGTTTGAGTTGTTTGAGCCATGTGAAGTTTTAAATTATCAAAAGGACACAAATATGCAAATTTATCGTTTTAGGCTCTCGTGTTTGCCGTTTACATTCTCACTGCCGTCATCACTTTTACATCGTATGCAATTCTTCTTCCCTATGAACAGAAGTTCGTTTTTTAATTATTGCGGTATCAAATCTAAAGCGACATTGCACACCATTTGGACATTTACCCTGTTTTCAGGTATCAATCGCCATGGATTCTTTCGATTTACGCAGCGGTCGGCTTCTACTTTTGCATTAGCATTGTTTACCATTACACGATGGCTCGGACACTTCCGCCAATCAGCAATCACGGGGTAAATTTTGTGAGCATGGTTTAAATTTTTGTTGATTTTAGAAAGAAGGCGACAAATGGTGCTCAAAATGTGCCAATTGGAAGTGTCCTCGAACTCATCACTGCTCGGTTTGCCAAAAGTGAGTCAAAAGTGATCTTTGTCTAAAAATTATCGGCCTTTTAGTGATTTAAATAGATCTACTTTTAAAATTTGTACTTTAAAAAGTTCTTTCAGTTATAGTTAAGTTTGTTAAGATAGATAAAAGCTTACGCTAAGATAATAAGTTAATATATAATAGTATAATAAGTTTACGGCGAAACAAATGTAAATTACTTTTCTTAATTTATCTTAAGTGATTTAGATGTGTCTTGGGGATGGACCATCATTGCATTTGGGTGAATCAATGCGTCGGCACGCACAATCATCGCCATTTCTTCATGTTCATCTTTTTCCTCAGCTTCACAACGATTATGATTGCATGGGTCGGCTTCAACACTATCTACGATCATGTTTTTGAGGTGCGCTATTTGGTGAATATTGGTGTTACACATTTAAAAATGTTTTAGTAACTGTAAGCATTGAATATTTTTAGACTGAATATTTCTATTGCACTACGACGTTGGATTACGCACCTTTACAAACATGGATTTGCGATCAAGGGGAATTGGCTAGGAATTTGAGTATGTTTTGCTTAATTGACTTATTATTTTGTTTGACTATCACTCGAAATGGAAATTCTTATCGGGCAAACATTGGCAATTTGCTTTAGTTATCTTTGTTTACTTGCTCTGTGCGTTGCTCATCCTCTTGGTCGGAGGACTCACCCTCTGGAACGTTTACCTCATCACAAAAGGGTTTACATATGTGGATTACTTGGTGGGTTTTACTAGTTTACTTTCATTTACTTGTCGGTAGGGATTAGGGCGCAACGCTTTTTCTTTAGCTTTCTCAACTCAAAATGGTGCGCTACTTCGTCGAGGAGGTGAATACAAACACACATTTTATAAAAGCAGCAAATAGCAGCAAGTTTTCGGCGTAATTTTAGTAAAAACAGACTAAATTTTATCTAAATTGGATTCAATGAGTGTTGCATTTATTTTTTTTAGAAAGGCTGGGATGGACGAACGATCGGCTATCGTAATCCATATGATCTGGGGTGGCGCGAGAATTGGCGGAACTTCTTGGGATTGCGACGAAATCGAACCTTCTGGCGCCATGTGCTTCTCCCATCTGGCCATCCGCCAATCATCATCGACGAGAAAGGAGATCCCGAAAGCGTTCTTGTTGTTGAGCAGGTTTAGGTGTGAGCTGTGGCACTGAATTGGGCCAATTCCTGCTGTGCAGTGCCATAGGTTAACCCACATTTTCCGGTGTCTAAGTCTTTCCACTTTTTGTTGCCCACAATAGGTGCTATTCGCATAGATGCCCCCAATTTCTCTGCGCTTTTTGGCACGATACTATTGCATTTGTGTAATATTGAATCTCATCCCTCAAAATCTGTGTCTTGGGTCTTTTTGAAGGCCTCATTTCTGTTTGTTTTTTGACCCTTTTCTGTCTATAATATTCCTTTGTCTTGTGATGAACAATTTATGCGGGTCGTGTGAATACAGGCAAACGCCTTTGTACGTAATCATAAATGTTTTATTGGAGTTGGCCATGTAAGACCTTTATCGCATCAATTCAATCAAAAATAAAAGCGAAGAACTATGAAGCTCACAAAAAATATCACATTTAAATCCTATCCGTTTGATGTTTAGCCTGTTTTTCGATCACGGCTCCCAGGCTAGTCAGAAAATTGGAACCCGATAAAACTTCCTAAATTTGAGATGTCGATGTTTGAAAAAAGCAATACCAACCGTAAAAGAATTTGTATAGATGAGGGCAGGAATTTTCCTCAGCGATCGACCACTCATACCAACAAGACGAGGCAAATATTCTTCGAGTTGGGACATGAAAATGGACTCATCATCAATCTTTAGCAAATCTACCTAAACAAAACGAAATCAAAGAATACCCGAAGGAAGAAAACCCCTACCCTTTTCAATTCATTGATACAATCGAGTATAATCCTCGTAACAGCTTGTAACCCTGGCGGTGGCACAACTCGAATCAGATCGGCTCTGTAAAACTGTAGATTTATAAACAAACTGAAAAGTACCTATCAACAAGGGCTGAATCCAAGCACTCTCTTAAATTCGAAGTACACATAATGAAGACGTTTTGACGGCTAAATAAAACTTATTGTACTTTTTCATTTGAACTTTACCGTCTAATTCGATCGATTTGTGTGAGAAGTGCGTTGACCGCTCGTATTGAATCTGCCGGATCACTTCGAGAAACCGATCCAGTACGAGAAATTCCAAGAGATTCAACCTAAGTAACGATAACTAGAATTATTCAATAACTTTGTAAACCTCATCAATTAACACGAAAACAAAAGTTTTTTCATCTTCAGCCGCCTCGTCGATTTGATCAAACATCTTCATCACTAGTTTGCCACTCTAAATTCATTAATTAAGCAAAATATTTGTCAGGATATTGTCACCTCGGAAAACCATTTGCTGAACAAAGAATGAGTGTTGATTTCGATCAGAATCGATCGCGGGAAACCTTTTGATCGAAGACAAATGGAAAGCTGTTGAGCGAGAGCGAGGCATAACGACGTTTTTCCTGTGCCTGGCGGGCCTAGACTTTAAGAAATACTAGCTAGTAAAGCGCAAAAATAATACCTAACAATAATAAAAGCCGGTTTACGTTAATAATCTTCGTATTCACGCCGCGAGTACTCATTCGTATCAGCGAAAGCACAAACGAAAGGACCTAAATAACAATAAATAAACTTTTTGTTTCAAAAATTTCAATATCTCATTTTTTATTGGCTCTTCGTAGTGTAAGTTCTCCCAGAGATCGACAAAAGATTGTGTCGGCAAGGTCCAATGTTGAGACCCGACTACCGAACCGTCTTTTTCCCCATCGAGACTCAAATCCTGCGAGAACGCCTCATCCTAAATAAATAGGTAGGTACATATTGTAATAATTAGTGATCTAATGTACCTGGGAAGGGCAATAGATGTGAAAAAGCTGATGATCCAGCTTCTCGGTAAATTTCAACATTTCTCCATCATTCGCTGTTAACGACCCAAAAACTATTGCGGAGATCAGTGTAGAGAAAGCTGGCAGCTATAAGAAAATTATTTTCAATAAAAGAAATTAAACAATACCACTTGCAAATTCTCGACGATAACTTGTTCAAAATCGGCTTCTTGTTGTGATATCTACACATAAAAACGTTATGCATATTTTTAATCAAACATGCCATGAACGCCCGCCAATTGTAAACCTTTCCGCGTAGAATTTCCTCCTGTATTAGACCACTCAACTCTTCGAGACGACTCTCAATCGAGGAGCGAGCACTAAATTAATGCAAAATTTCAAGCTATATGTTTTTGCTTACATGCCGCGCTTTAATCTCACCGCGACGCTCACAATTTCGGTTGACATCTAAACCCCAAAATTTTTTCTTGTCCAATCAAAAGGCTATCAAAATACCTAAGATGTGCACAAACAAATGCCACTGCTATAAATCTATTTCAGACATAAAGCTTTATTTCAATATAAACAAAAAATCCGATTTACTTCAATGAAATGAGATCTGACAAAATGAACGCGTAACGGCAGAATGACAATGAATAAACAAGCAATTGGCATTAAACAAAGTGGAAAAATGAAAATTTTCTTAATTCATAACAAAGTGAATCTTGTTTGTACGATCCATCATGATCAACCCGCCCGTTGTGTAGAAATCGAGACATTCTTTCAAGATTTCTTCCGAGATACCCTAAAACACAAACAGTGATCAAGATTCCATAAGTGCCAAAACATCCGCCAAATTCAAACCTTTCGAGCACATTTAATAGCAAGTTGGTCCAGTGAAACGGGCTCGTGTTTATTAGCCGCTGAAAGTTCGCGAAGAATCGAGAATGCTTGATCGACTGGAGTTCCGCGACTAAATAATATTTTTATAGCATTTATTTGCATTATTTAATGTTGGCCTAGAAAATGCTTACTGAATATGTTGAGTTTGCTCCGTTCTCATACTGTCCTTGCTGGCAGTCATCAAACGAATCGCTTCATCAAGGTCCGACTCCGTGACACGATCTCGCAAATGTACACGAGCGCAAGCCGTCGCCATCCTAAATAAATAGTGTTAAATTTATAACCTTTTGACTAATTGTAAATAACAACATTTTTAAAAGCTTGCCTAATGACGGAAAGAAGAATCCTGGGTGAAGTGAATGTGGAGTCATCGCTTTCGCGTGACTCTTTGCGCAAATCCACATAGAGTTCAATCAGGCGGTCCGTCAATTCTCGTTCCATCACCGGGTTCTTTGCTTTACAAGCAGCGATGTACTTTCTAAATGATACCAGGTAAAACCGCTCTAAAGTGCCCAGACTACCTGAGCGTATCCATACTGAAAGGTTCCAAACCCTTTCGTGGGGGTGGGGCTCCTTTGAAATGGACATAAGTGATATGTTTAGCAACCTGTTGAAAAAAAATAAAATATTTGATCTTAGAATAAAACCTGGAGATCCGATTCACGACTTGGCATATCACGCATCACCCACAGCATATCAAATCTAAATGTTTAACAACGATGAAAGTGGCCTAAATGATAAAAGATTAGAATTTACCTTGAAAGAAGAGCTGCTGGGAGATTGATATTTTGTTCAATCGTGCGACGAGGATTGTATCTAAAGAGTCTATCGTCACTATTTTTTGTTTGATAAAATGCACCGTCCATAAGCCGGATTTGCAGCCGCTATGATGGAAACCCTTGCATTGAGGGTAGTCATAATTCCGGCTTTCGCAATCGAGATCGTTTGCTGTTCCATCACCTAGAAAAACAGAGACTATGCGACCAAATTAAAAAATCTACCTCGTGAATCGCCGTGCGATCGCCGTCTAGCATTTTGTCAAACTCGTCAATGCAACAGATTCCATTATCGGCAAGCACCTAGAGACATCGATTTCCTGGAATTCTCTAGCAATAAAATTACCAAAGCTCCCCCTTCTAGCATCATTTCTCCAGTCATTGGATCTTTCATTACAGCTGCCGTAAGACCAACACCTAAAAAAGTGAGAAATGAATGCGAGATCAAAAAAAACATACCCGATGATCCGCGCCCAGTTGTGTATTGAGAACGAACGGCCAGTCTGTCCACATAACCAAGGAGTTGCGATTTAGCGAGACCAGGGTCTCCCATTAGGAGAACGTTCAAGGCTCCTAAATATTTGAATTTGAGTAAAGTGGCGATGAAACTAGTTAGCAACCTCGGATTTTCATCCCTTCAGCGTTCGTGTCGCATCCACCAACCAAAGCAAGCAACAATGACTTCTTCACGTCCAAATGACCATAGATATCGGGAGCAATCGAATAAGCAGCCAAATTGTAGAATGAGCTATCTCCCAAACGTCTCATCTAAAAAGAAACTATTACTTTAAAAAGATTGGAATGCTGTTACTTCTTCCTCAGAAATGTCCCCTTCAAGATCGATAGCTTTCAAGTCTTCTCGATTGACTGGATCGACAAACTAAAAAACAGTGCTATATACACTAATGCCAAATCAAACAAACATAAGCCTCCAGATAGGTGTCGTGAACCAATGTTCCTGTACCTGGAGCGTGTGGACCTTTTTGCATTACAGGAAGAAAAACTCCTGAAAGTTACAACGTACTGCAGGCTTTAAAAAAATAAAACCTGCAATTTTGACGTGATCTCCAGGCTGACATCCTCGCGTCATCTCTCCCACAACTTGAACAGTCAATAAGCGCGGAATCGAGCCAATTGGGACTTGATGACTCTAGAATGAACGTTTGAGGAGACTAATACTTTAATTATACCAATTCTTGTATCTTCAGCTCTTGATATTTCATAAATTTCGACCCGCGAACTTGCATGTGAAGTCGACCATTACCGCGACCCTCTGTACATTCTTTGCTAATACAATTCACTTGAGGCATATATTGTGGCCCGCTCACCTAAATAGAGGCTTCAAAAATGCAATTATAAGCAAAAATACCGCATGATAAACTTCAGCCGAACAGGTGTCGCATGTGTAGGTAATCACTTCTGCCTTTGGTTTCACTTCTGTCGCTCGAATAACGATACCTTCCACGCAAACGAGATGGCCTACTTGATCTGCCTAAATTAAAAATATTTCCTTTTTAAAAATAACAAATACTTTTAGTTGACGAACAGACAGGGCTTTCGCATCAGAAAAGGGACGGAAGGAAATCTCACTAAAAATCATGTGATAACACATCATTTTTAAATTGGTACTCACAATCGGCGCATCAGTTGTGGTGGATATCGATGAGCTCTAGCGGCATCACCTCGGTCAGCTTGTTCGGTTGCATGGGAGCGGTCCATTTGCACGCGTTGATAGATGAAAGCATCAAGTGCATCACGAACCGGCGGCTAGATCAATTTAATTATTGAATTGACTTAACCTCTCGATCAAACCTCTCGATTTCCCAAATATTCAGATCGAAGTTCGTCCAATGCTTCACAAAACATTTCACGAAGACTAAAATTGTTATATGAAATCAGAGCCTTCTCAAAGATTTTCTCACCGGACAGTATTCTGCTGAAGTGCTTCAACAATTTCTGGATAGAGTTCTTGCAAGTCATCCAAATCGACAAAGAGAGTGACTTCCTCGCGCTCAAAAATGCGGAAAACTTGATCCCGGTATTTGAAAACCTAAAGAGTAACATGTTACAAAAAAACAATTAATTTTTGACAATTTACCTTATCACCGTTGTCGTCGTGTTTAAAATACTCCATGATGAATTCTTTGATCTTCTTTTTGATCTAAAAATACAATAAACTAAACAGCCCAACTTCAACCGCTCACCTCATCGCGGGGAAATTGTTCATCAAAAGTCTTCTTATTCTTTTGAAGGGCTGCCATTATTCAGCTATAAAAATAACATTACTCAAGAAACTTGTCTCACAAATTCAAAAAATAAAAAGCAATCACGTTTTCCATTTCTAGAAGCTCTTGCAAACGAAATCTGCCGGCAATAGCTGACATATTTCTTTTCTTCGAAGAACTATTGTAGACTTTCTTCAAAAAAGGCTCCCGCAAATTTCAAAGCAAGTGATTGGCGCCAGGGAATTTTGCCCACCTTTTAGCAAACAAGGGCCGTAATAAAACGCAAGAGGTGCGTGATCGGCAAAAAGAGTGCAAGAAAAACTATAGGAAATTGAATGACAAAATCAGTTTCAATAAAAACCGTGAAAAAAGATTTAACTAATTTAGGTAGCTGTGCTAAATGATCATAAAACCCACTCCACCCAAACGTTCTCTCTTGCGAAAACAACAAATTCTACAAAGTAAAACACACCCCTCTCAATGTTCAATTTTTTAATAAATACATCAGGTAAAAAAGTTTATTCATCCAATAACCAAAAATCACAGAACAGTTTCAATAAAAAAAAATTTAGACACATAAAACAAAAACGACTTTAAAAATCAAAACCATTGAAAATAATCACCACTTGTTGCCCACTTTCTTCTTTTTCTTCGCAGGGGCCTTTGCACCAGCTGGTTTTTGTTGTCGAGGCCCTTCGACGGGAACTTGTAGTGGAGACCGAGGACTCTCGGTCTTGTATTCCCTGTATTTTTTTACAATAAACACAATTCTCCCAACAGATCACATACAAATTGCCAGCGGTAGTCGATCCTTGAGTACCACGTCCGATTTCACGATCACGGTGCTTCTTTCCCTTTTTCGCTTTCCACGTTGAGCGCTCTTGCTTTGGCAACCATCTAAACAAATTGGAAAATTAAATAACAAAATGAACAAAGGACCAAACCTTTCTGGATCTGGCGGCACCTTTGGATCGTAGTTCTTCGGCAATCTAACCTTTCTTTTGCGCTTTCGAGTGCGGAGCTTCCCAGTAACGATTTCCTAAAAGAATGAGTTATGTTTATTTATGCATTAAAAAGTTACCGTATCTTGAACGTCTTTTTGTTCCTTCTTTTGCTTATACTTCTCGCCATAAAGAATCCAATCACTCTCCTCGAGCTCGTTAACATTCACTCCTTCAGCTCCGCTTTCAGGGAAGATCTATTCAAAATTATCGATAGTTAGTTTTCAATCACAACAAACCTTCTTTGTCAGCGATTCAGCCTTTGCTGAATCCACTTGAGTGTAGGCTTGGATTAATTGAGATTGAAGGGAAAGATCGTCAGGATAGCGCCTAAATTACTTTTAGTCTTTAAACTTACCAATATTAGTTTTAGATTCATTTTATTGTAAAGTTTAAGCGTTAGAACGGAATATGCTTAATGACAAAATTCCTATAATATCTTCTAAAAATCATAAACATACTTGGACAGATTTTCCAAATGCGTTACAGCTTGTTTGTATGCGCCTCGGTTCATTTCAATACTGGCAGCCATTTCCAAAGCATCACGTACTAGTCGTGGGTCCTGAGAAGTGGTCAAACCCTATAAACTTTAATCAATCTTTGCAAAATTCACAAATATCTACCTGAAGAATCTTCAACGACTCGTCAATCTTTCCAGAATTAATCAATAAAGCAGCAAAGAAGCTGGTAATTGATGGACGGGATCGGATATTTGCCGGTAATTTCTAAAAAAAGATAACTTTTGTGACTGATAATGTTAACCTGCAAGTGTTTCAGACCCTCATCAATCTTTCCACCAGCAACAAATATTTGAACACGAGCTAATTCTTGCTCTGCATCTTCGCCATCAAGTATCTAGTATTTGACATTTTAACTTGCTAATTTCATCAAACCTACCTTTAACGCTGCATCTGCATCAGTCTTCATTAAAAGAGCAGCCTCAACGAGCTTCGAGTCACGTATTGGACCAAACTTCTCGGCTAACTCTTTCAAGGCACGGCGACATGGCTCACGTTGATTTGAGAGTAGAAGCACTAGAGCCTACACAAAATGCCTTTATGTATTAGCAGAAAAAAAAATACCCACCTGATTAATATGAAGAGTTCGACGTTGACGATTTGTCAATTTACTCTGATCGAGGCTCAAAGCTAATTTAAGCTTTTTGCGCCATTCATTCAAAGATCCATCGTCAGATACACTTGGCAAGTTATTCAGGAGAGTCGCTTTCACAGAAACATCCGATGTTCTAAATAATAGTTGTTTTATTCCAAAACACGCAGAAGTACTTAATAAATTCAAACACTGTCACTAATTGTAAATATAGTAAAGTTTATTACCCGGCATCCTGTACTTGCTGATAAAGCTTCAAGGCCTCGTTTCGTTTTCCCATCTTCTGCAAAACAAAAGCCTCGTTGACGCGAATATTGGCCAACTCCTCTTCAATCTCCTTTTCTTCCATATCTTGTCCGAGAAGACTAGCCCGTCCCACTTCTAAACTTTCACTTTTAAAAACGAACTTGCACGGAAAAAGCCAATATCAATTAAACGTTGTAATTATTAAATAAAAATCAAAAAACTACCATAAGCTTTTTTGAGATGCTGCAATGCCACTTCATAATTCTCGTTTTCAATTTCTTGACACGCCGCATTGTAAAATTGCTCGTACGTCTCAAGGATATCCGTCGTTATTGTCTAAAAAGGATATTATCATAGCCAATGCCTTTCAATTAACCTGTTTTATCCCCAAAGCTTCTAGTTGTGCCTGCACAGCAAGCATGTTGGCTTTGCGCTCCTCGTCGTTTGCATCCGAATGATTTCTCACAAGTTCACGGTAAATGTCGTAAGCATCCTTAATGTGAAAGTTCAGCGCAATCGGAAATCAAACATACTTGAAACTTCTCGAGCCTATAAAGAATCTGTGCTTTTAGATCAAGCACTCTTGATGTCTTTTCTTTCGTTTGCTCAAGTGATTCCAGGGCTAAGTCGTTATTGTTAAGACGGTAAAAAGCATACGCCTTCTCAAAGCCGACATCACTAAAAGCATCTACAATAAATTACTATTAACTTTTAAAAACCCCATTGTTTGTTCAGGAGTTTTCTCAATTAGAGCAACAGCATCGTCGAATCGTCCAAGACGAACCAAGGCGATCACCTTGCATTTGTTCGCCACCACTTCATTCGGATATTTTCTAATCACTAAATTAATAAATTAATCACTGCAAAAGGAAAACAATAGTTTAGCCACAAAAATAATAAACTTACTTCGGTTCGCAGCTTTCAACGCAGCCTCATAATCCTCGGTTTGATCGGCTCGTTGGATTTCCGTTAAACATTGAAACAAACTTCCTCCGTCAGCCGCCATGACTAAAAATTAAAAAGTTGCTTAATTTTTACAAAGGGAAGAATTTGAAAAAGATACAGAAGGTAAACGAACCAATGGTGGAATAGATCAAGCAACTCAGAAAATGCGCTAACGCTGATGATAATGAACATTGTGACAAAACTGCGGAGCTTGGTTGAATTCAAAGATTTTGTAAATGAACACGAAAAACACTCGAGGGTTTGTATACTGTCGGTAAGTTATTACCGTATCCTAGCAGCCGGTTACGGTAGCTTCCCACTTTTTAGATTGTAAAAATTTTAATTAAAAACATCAATAAACTTTTCTTTTGCTACGCGGATGTAGGCTGCAAATTAGACGGGTAAGGGCGATATATAAACGTTAGTTCGCCGATTAGATGTCGATAGGCGTGCGATGTAGAGATCAAACTCTTTCCAAGCCTACGATACTCAATAAAAGATAGACCTTTTCAAAAAATTGAAAAGTAATCTATGCCTGAGCCAAAACAGTTCAATGAATGCCAAAATCGGAAATGAATATTTATTAGAGAACAATAAAATCCAATCAAAAGCTAATGAGCAAACAACCTATTACTAAGCAACACAAAGCATAAAAATAAGTGGTGCCAAACCCTACAGAAATTGACAGTGCTTCCCAAGTTAAATCGTCTAATATCGTGACTGATGTGCAATTGCCCGTTTTGTCTGAAAAAACGGAAATTATACAAGTTATACAAATTATTTCTCATTTCCTAGTTTGCTTATAAAAAAATTACTTATTTCAATACAGTTGACTACGATACAAAAGCCACTAACCTCGAAAATATCCAAGTTGGCAAATACAACGCGCAGCATCCTCCCTGTTTTGGCAGATCTCGTTTTCTGTAATTAAATCACTATAAACAAAAAATCAGACAAAAAAATACCTGGACAATTGCTGTAACGACAAAAATTTTGAAGAACGCAGCTTCCAACTTCTTTGTGGTATCTGACACTCAAATCGTTTATGAAATAAAGATAAAACCATACACGTAGCTCGTAGGACATGAACAAGTTTCATTCCAATCATTGTGTCGTTGCCCAATAATGTTGTCGTTGAACTCTGCCTAAAATAAAACACGTAATAATTCGTAAATTTTTACGATTGACGCGTGCTATTAGAAAGAGCTGCTAAAGCTGACCCGAATTTCGCACTTCTTTCCAACAGTTGGACATCCCACTACTAGATCTCCTTCTTCAGTCGTCTCTTCACAAGGATTTGGACAAAAGCTAAATTTTTGAGAGTCAATAACAAGCTAAAACTCTTCACCTTTTGAAAGCACAATCGTGATAAGATTCATCGTGAAAGTCAAATTTCAACCGAAGCAATTCACCGTTCCAATGTGGCTAAACAGCAATTTGGGCTACCATTTTTAAAAAATAAAGAAGTTAATTTTTAAGCCTAAACTAAATTACTGGAAATATTCCTCGTCGGATCTCTTCGTCATTCAATGTATCATAGTAGCAAAATGGTATCGGCTTGCGAAAGAATTCGAATCGCATTGTGAAATGACAAAGAACTTGTCCGATTCTAAAAGATAAAGATGCAAAATGTGATTACACAAACGCTAAATCTCGTTCCATCTTTCTAGAGTCCAAATTCTCAGCCATGAACTCATCGCTAAAAGCAAGTTTTAGAAGTAGCTAATAAAATAAATACCTCAGTGTGGTGTTATGAAGAGCAGTTAGCCAGCTATTAACTGGATCTTCTGTGATCGCTTCGTAAAAACTCTCAATACAGGACTGAAAATGTTAAAACAAATTTTCGGGAAAATAACCAAACCCAGATGCCCCAACCGAGAGTCGTGCACTGACTGGTCGCAGACGTGTCAAATCGATAACCAACCCCGTCCGGATAGGCGAATCGGTACCCAAAAGTATCATAATATTAGAAATAAAGTAAGATTGATATTTTCCCTTTTACAAGATTCTTTAGCAGCTCAATAAAAAATCCGTATTTATGAAATTTTACACCATTTCGCATTAATGATGGTCACTTACAAAATTGCAAAAATACCCCTTAATGGCATGGCGAACATGTTTCACATGCATCCGATAGTACAAAGCCAGCAACCCAAGTCTTTTCGTGAATTCAATCCGATCTTCCAGTGACAAAGCATTGTATTCACTAAAGATGACTTTTATTTGCCGGTAAAAAGTTAGACTTAAGTATTTGAAGACAAAAATAACTAGATTTTCGACTTCAACCTATCAAAATGACCAACTTGGCAAAACGATTATCGATGTTATCTGCAAAAAGTCGGAGACCGTTGTGAAAATTGTTGTAGAGCCATTCGTCATCTAACGCCTTGGGATTCTTGTCGATTTCAGTATTGTCGTCCTCTGTGGTAACCGGAGAAGTCTGAAACAAAAACAATTACATTAAATCGGCTGAAAATGGCTCATTTCAGTTAAAAAAAACTCTTCGAATAAATCGCTCATCAAACATTAAAGCCCAATCTTTTAAAGTCTGACTTGAAATTTCATTTCCTATTTCATGTATAATAAGAGCACTTTTAAAAGGATTCAAGGAACAAAACAACCAATGGTTTTTTTGTGAAATTACATCAAAGTATAATAAATGGACCCACTTGAATGGTGCTTGTAGGCGTTGTATACGGCTCGGTCTTTGTTATTGCTCCTTCTTGACTCGCATCGTTGAGCTTGGACCAAAAAAGAGCACAAAGCCATACGAACGATAAAATTCCCGCCATTTTATGAATGAAATGAGAAAAACATTGACTGAAGAAGCGCAAAAATTTACATACAATTAACACCTGTAATAGTAGCGCCCTCCCCCCTACAGTCGCGTACTTCTTTTTAGAAAACATTTTTTCTCAGCCCCTAGATTTTTCCCAACTACACTTTTGGTACCAAAAAATACTAGATTTTATGGGCTATCGTTTGAGATTTAAGCGCACACTGTAGCATAAAGCAACGCGGAGAACGGAACGTGCAAATTTAGACTACGCGGCAAGACCCCGTCATTATACGGGGGGGCGCTACTATTACAGGTATTATGACACTTTTTGCTTGACATTTTTCTTCATTTCATTCTTTTCATAGCAATGACCGCTGGGCCAGCCGTGCAGAAGTTGGTTTTTAAATTTTGCACTTCTTTTGCACAAGTCTTAAAGTGATAATTATGTTGAGCTATTTCATGTTCCGCTCAATTAATTTTTTTTCAATTTCTTATACTTAGAGGAACGTCTCATATGAATGGGTTCTCCGTGTGGTCGAATACATCGAGGCTTTCCTCCACAAGAAAGGCACATACATGGAGAACCATGGTTATTTGAGTGAAAATGTAAGTCATTTTTAAACCTTTTTCAACGTATAAATGATAACATAAGTCCGCCTAGGTCATTAAAGTTTAACATTTACCTAATTGTTCCTTTTTAGAATCGTTCAATGCCATTCGCTCACAAATTGCACGATCTGGGATGGCGAGAAAACTGGCGACATTTCCTCGGACTGCGACGGGATCGGTTCTTCTCACGCCATGTATTACTTCCAGCGAGCTTTCCACCCACACTCATCAATGAAGAAGGAAGACTCGAAAGTGTAAATTGTGAGAAAATTCTATAAATCTAGATTGAACCACCTGTGATTCATGTGGTTTTCAATTTGTCAACGCCTTTTTGTTTCCTGGAGTAGCTATATGCTTTTCCACTGTTTTTTTACCTCACTAAATCTTTGCGAGTACATTCTCTCTTTTGTACATTCTCTACACAGTACATTCTCTGCAATTAGTAAACCCTAGGGTTCTAGTCATTCTTCTGTGATTCGATTTAGCTTTTCAAAGTCTTTTTGGTTTTCTGGTGCTGCATTGCGGGTCACTTCATGTTTTGTGTAATAAAAATGTTTATTGGGAATGAAAAATTTACATGTCAAGAATTAAGTTAGTTTCCTTTCATCTCTGCTCAGTCAGATCTCAGCTGTTGTTGGCTAAATTTGGACATTGATGAAATTTTTGTTTTCAATAGTTACATTACACTTCTGTTAGCTTTGAGAGTTAATGACTAAATTTAAATCGATGCAAATTGTATTTTATCAACGGATTATGGGCTCCGGATTGCGTTTTCACAAATCTGATGTCAGCATCGCAAAATGTTCGCCGAATGTTTAAAGTGTCATGGAGTTGTAGAAGAGATTTGTGTGTGACTCAAAAAAGAAAAATGACAAAAGATTGGAGATTTGAAGAGATTTTGCGCAAACGAGGAAAATGATAAGACGTGAGAAGAAGGCGGCTGTGCTTGTGCTGGCACCTCCCCTTCCTCTTTTATTTCTTCTGTTTGGGATATTTTTTCTTTTCAAAAAAACATCCTAGGGGCCACGCCTAATAGCGTTAGGTAAACTTCAGGAAAAGTGATGACATAATGAATTGAGTTGATAAAAACAGTCTCTAGGAAAAAGATCTCTCAAAAGTACTGTAAATGGAGGGTGGTGAGTGGGTTTTAAGATTGAATTGAATAACTTACCGTAAATACTGTAATAGTACTACACCCCCATAATGACGGTGCGGAGTATTGGGTAGTCTAGCTTTGGACGCATTTTTCTCGACACTAGTTTATGCTTTAATGGCCGCTTAGGTATCAAAAAATAGCTGAAATTCAGGGCTATTTTTTGATACCAAAGACGCATTTTTTGAAAGTACGGGCGCTTTGAAAAAAGTGAAATACTAAAAACTACGCGACTACGCGACTGTACGAGGGGGGTGGGGTACTATTAAAGTATTTACGGTAGATTTTTAGAAAATAAATCGATACGCACAGGCAGCGTGCAAAGGATTCGAAAATGTTCACATGGAATCCAAAAGTTATAGAAATACCAATTCTATCAACTTGAAAGGATTTTACGACTATGAGACTCACCGAAGCATTGCTCGGAACATTCGGGCAACCAGGCAGTGATCCCTGATCGTTCGTATTCACATCCAAACCATCCAACCTCCTTACCGCACATTTGTTGGAAAGGCATTTGATAGCAGCCAAGCAACTCTCGGAAATCTCTGAATCGATCGATGATTGATTAGTGATTGATTTCTAGTGCCAGGCTCATTGATCTAGTTTAGATCCCAAAATATGTAACATCAATGGGTCTATGAAAAAATTACGGTAGTCAAGTATAGTACTGTCGCAACTATGGTTGTGCCTATCGATTAGAATGAGGCTCAAGTGCTCACTGGCATCGGTTGTTCCAATTGTTGTTGATGTTGGCCGAAAAAGTGGCTCGGCAACGAGCGAGCTGATCATTGTAGACATTAAAAACATTTCGAACACAAGCATCGTTGTTCACATACGCTAAAAACGGCTTTTTTCTTTTAGAAATCCATCATTCTTTTACTGTCCAATCCTGGGCCGCAAAGGAAAGCCATTTGCGAGTAGACGGTGTAGACGTTGATTGCTTGACCCGAGGTGAGACCTTGTTGAATGTGGAACTGGAAATTGGGCAGTTTGTTTGTCACTAAGACGTCTGCCTGTCTGTCTGTCTGTCTATCTATCTGTCTGTCTGTCTATCTATCTGTCTGTCTGTCTATCTGTCTGTCTGCCTGTCTGTCTGTCTGTCTGTCTGTCTGTTTGTCTGCCTGTCTGTCTGTCTGTCTGTTTGTCTGTCTATCTGTCTGTCTAATATAACAGCCCCCAGATTCAAATGATTTATAGTTAGTTTGGCTTAGAATTTCATATAGTTGTGCAACATGTTTTTAAATTTTTAAAAAACCCAAAGTGCCGACGCGGGCGGGAGTCAAACCCGGGTTGTCTGGGCTAGAGACAAGTGCGCTCGCACTGCGCCATCGAGTGCCCGAGTGGCTAACGCACTCGTCTCCCAAACGAACGAAAGAGAGAGGTCGCGAGTTCGACTCCTCTCGCCGCTAATTCTTTTGCTTTTTGCTCCAAAGTTTATTTTTGCTGCAGAGAAGCAACAAAGCTTCTGTTACTTTAATAGAAGCTCCTATAGGAGCGTCGTGTAGTCTAAGTTTATTGTCAAACAAACGCTCATATCTCAACATTTATGGTGTATCCAACAAAAAGCAAATATGCAAATAGCAAAAAGCAAGTTCTTTTGCAATAAATGCTTTTGCTATATTATAAGGCTCAAATGTGAATGTTTATGTATTTAAATGAAGCTATAAATAAACTATAAATAAACTATAAACAAACTATAAACTTACTTTAATGCTCTCACAGGACAACAGCGAGACACCCAAGCATCGCGTCCAGTCTGAGTAGGCACTGAAATGTAGGCTTATGAGTGAGGCTTTACTATTGTACCATAAAGATACATTTACGATAGATTGTGAACGGTTTAAGAAAAATCTTTAAAACAAACGCGCAAACATTGAGTCCTCCGTCAATGCTATTTCCGAACATGCTCTCCATTTGCGTTCGGTAACATTCGACTCGCGAAAAAGTGTCCGCTGAGATTTTGGATTTGAGAAAACATAAACATTTTAGCACTTACGTAGATTATTACAAGTGGTTAAATTAAGAGCATTGGAGAAGTTGTTGTCACAACAATCGTAAACCATCGGATCGCAAGTCGCAATGGTTGGGGTGGGACAAATGTCCGCTGCTGTGGAGAAGCCTGAAAGAGGGTTATGAATTAGAAAACTCAAATCAACTTGTGCATGACTGTCAGTTGCTGTCAGTTATCAGTTTTACTTTAGAAAACTGGAATTCTGGCTCTAGCTGTCTTCTTTGCTTCTGGTTTAGAAGCTAAAGCAATAAGGTTCAAATGTCTTTTTGGACCAGCATCTTATAGATTTGATAAGGCTAAATTGGGTGATCGATTTAAAGTCAAATTTCTGCATTTCACTGAATTTACTATGGCTTTTCATCCTATTTGCTTAGGCTATGGCTCTGCACACTCGGAGAACTGATCAAACTGATCGGGCACAGGCTATAGCCCTGTGTCTCCCAGCTCCGGCCTTCTTTAACAGGTTCTTTATTCTCCTGTGCCCGATCAGGTTATCAGTGGCATACACGAACACATCAATCACAATTCAACACAATATTAGGCTAGATCTTAACCTAATTAGGATTAGGGAGCCGGTTGTCCTTCGTTGGACAACCGGCTCCCTAATCCTACTCCTAATGGAAACCCTACTCTCGGTCCCTGCATGGCTTGTTCTGGTGGTGAAGCGAAGGATATCCGCTTTACAGACCTATCTGTAAGACGACGGCGAAGGATATCCGCCTATCAGAATACCTAGTTTACCAATCTAACCAAGGCTTTGGATTGGTGATATAGCCCAGTATTTATTGTGTTTGTTGAATTGTGATTGATATCTGTATCTCGGATCAGGGAAGAGGCTCATCTCATGGCTCATCTCATGGCTCATCTCATGGACTCGAACCAGAGACTAAGCAAGTCTAACTTGCGAGGTTGCATAACTTGGCAGATCTGACGGGATGCAGTGTTTCAATGTGGCGACACTGTAGCATTTATGCATGATTTTCGATTTGGATTCAAAGCTGATACTCAAAGTTGACACTCAAGGCTGACACTTGATGGTTAAAGCAATGGGTATGTCAATATAATAACAGGTTTGATGTTATACAACTTAATATTTGTATGTAAAGTGGAAGTCATAAGCTCTCAACTTCAACTGTAGCACAGAAATGAACGACATTGCTTTAAAGTTAAAAGTTACAACCAGATGTTTAAAGTTAAAAGTTACAACCGAATTTCCAGATGTTTGACGATAAATTAAAGGCAAACCGATAAACAAAGACGCGAGCAAGCATGTCCAAAGGAGCATGGTTGATGAAAAAAAGATGGAGAGACTCGAAGAAGAGCTCTCAACGGTAGCCACCCCACTCACTTCTACACGCCCGGCCTATCGTAAAATTCTCGGTCCACGTTATCAGGATTTTTATGCGAGTAATCAATTATCACCTAGTTGTAGGACTGAGGGGAGCCACTCCTCTTTTTTTCAATGGAAAACGTTTCTTTTCTTTGTTATCTTCTCGGGATTCCGCGTAGAAACACGAGCAATCCCCTCGGCTTTGCTACCACCGATTTTTGTGATTCCCCTGAAAATTTATGAGGTGTCAAAGCTTTGTTGAAAGTACTAAAGTGAAAAGTTGAATGATATTAGCTGTTGAAGGGTTGAATGATATTATTATGTGGTTAAAAATTCGCGGACACTTGCAGAAAAATTCAATTTTTATTCGCAACAAATGAAGAAAAACAATAACGTTCACTCTTTAAAGTATACATTGCTTTACGATCTTCTGGACGGTCCTCAGAGCCACCCCAAGCCTCGATGCGATCGACGAGTTCTTCATGCCGCTCGTCGCCAGCTGTGCGATTGCGTCCCAGCTGTGCGATTGCGTCGCCAGCTGTGCGATTGCGTCCCGACTAGCGCACGTCTTTGTCATGACCTAGAAAACAACTTTTTTGACAAAAAATTATTAGACAACGATAAAAAGAATATTAAAACACAAAAAGATGAGTAGTAATGCTTTATACATTGTTTAAAACTATGATGCTGATGCTGCGCGCACGTAATTTTCAGCCACCCTGTAGTCCGTCATTCTCTACGACCTTCTGCAATTGATCAGCAAGATTTCGGACCTGCTCAAAGTACCAAGCCGGCTCCTTTGAATCAAAAAACTCTTGACACGCTTCTTCAACTTTAACGAAGCAAAAGAAAATAGCTTTTATCCATCTAAAGATGTGGAATTTGTAAAGTAAGCTATAAAACAAAATGCTCGCAAAAAAACAGGCTTAGGATGTCCACGGATATCCTCGAGGAGACACTTCAAATAAGCTATAGCTCGTAGCAAAAGGCCACAGACCCCGCTGACCACTCCCTTGTTAGTTGTAGTTCTTATTGTTCTTATATCTATTATGTTATAAAAAATTAAAATTTTAATAATCAACGGTTAAATCGATATTTTCCGGGACCAAGTCGAATATAGATACTACCCTACTTGCTTATTTAATATCCATCATCAGCAAACATAAATATGCACAAAAAATCAATTTTGGTACTGTCACCTGACATCAGGTGACAATGTCCCAGGCGAACGAATATGTGTCAGACAGCATCAGGTGACAATGTCGTCAACGTGTTAAATGAGCCAAAAATCATAACAATCCATTGTCAAAATAATTAGATAATTTGAACTTTTCTGCAAGTGACCGCGAACTTTTTTAATAATCTAGTAGGAAAGGCCACTTTGTATTGCTTTTCTTTAGCTTTGAAACACTGAACCAACGATTGATTCTATTTTCTCGCTAGATTAGTAATTGTGTTATATTCCGAGTAAATATCTAATAATCATTGCCCCATCGGTACTCTCTCACACACTACACAGACATGAAGGAAGAAAGAAAGAGAGGGAAATACCCGGGCCTTCAGAATCGTGGGCTTGAAACGGCAAAACAACTTAACAACTTATTCAAGAACTTGCTGATTAGTACTTTGTTTTCAGTTCCAAACAAATCTTTTTAACAGCCTAGTAGTATAGTAGTTGATTAGTTGGATATAGTAGTCGCTTTCGAAAAAAGCTACAAAGCCGGCCATCGTTCGCCAAATTGTTCTCCAACAATGGGACGAGAAAAGATGAGGATCACAGTGATCGAGCTGTTCAAACGTTGGATCAAGCCAGTTAACATTGTTCAAATGGCTACAAGAGAAGCACGACCCATGATGCAATTAAACGCTACAAGGAACTTGGAAACACGTTTGAACGACAGGAAAGAGGTTGTAAACCTACTGCTATGACGCCTGAGAACGTAAACAAGATCCGATGCAAAACCGTTCCCGATTTGTTCGATCCGAAACAACACCGAAAGTTTGTTAGAAAGTGTTAGAAAAGTCTTTTTAAGGATTCCATTCATTCTTTTCTCTCCAAAACGAACTTAAGCCTATTCTGGGAGTTCTTTTTAGGCAACCTTATTCGGCAAATCAATTCTGGAGCGAATTTTTTGAAGGCTTTGGATATAAACTTGCAGACTTTGAGCCCATGAACAGTTTAAGTGGATTGATTAAATGACAATGAGTTTAAAATGTGATTGTGAGAGAAATTCTGTAGCTCTAGTAGCTCTAGTAGCTTTAGTAGCTCTAGTAGCTTTAGTAGCTCTAGTAGCTCTAGTAGCTCTAGTAGCTCTAGTAGCTCTAGTAGCTCTAGTAGCTCTAGTAGCTCTAGTAGCTCTAGTAGCTCTAGTAGCTCTCTAGTAGCTCTAGTAGCTCTAGTGGCTCTAGTAGCTTTAGTAGCTCTAGTAGCTTTAGTAGCTTTAGTAGCTTTAGTAGCTTTAGTAGCTTTAGTAGCTCTAGTAGCTCTAGTAGCTCGGCTCTTGCTCATAAACCCTGTCAATCTTTCCCGTGTTTCCAAAGAAACAAGTTTATGAATGCATCTATGCAAATTTATTGGCCAATCAGTGATAATAAACGAGAGGCGATCCCTGTATTTGCCGCTCGTATCAAGTCGCTTTATTTGAAGTGCTCAAGAGCAATGATTACATTGAGAGAGTTTTCAGTTGTAATTGCTATTATTGCAAGAATCTTTTCTATATTTTTATATTTCTAAAATTTTCTCGAAAAAAATCCCTTATAACATGTCTTAATCTTATCTTAATCTTATCTTAATCATGATCTTAATCCCTTACAACACGTTTAATCGAGTCTTTCATTTCGAGCTCATGGTTATTGCTACTCAAAAATAACTAGCTCTTCTTCTCTTTTCGATTTTATGAATCTTTCTAGCGTTTTGCCCTGCTAATTCGTATTACGCTATCGTATGGAAATTGAATTTAACCGACAAATTGAAATGGTCAATTGGAAATTGACCGTCTCTTTGGAACTAGAGCTTTAATGAACAACAATCTACAGGGTGACCAAGAATTACCGCAACACACAAAAGGCGCTTTTAACTTTTAACAAAAGGTGCTTTTAACCAAATATGCAACCCATCTCGAAAAGTTGACTTAAATATCTTTATTCAACATATAACAGTAACAAATTAACAATTCAATTCAAACGCTGCCGCTTGAGCTCAAGGATCGATTGTCGATGTGGAGCTCAAGGATCGATTGTTGATGTGGAGCTCAAGAATCGATTGTCGATGTGGAGCTCAAGGATCGATTGTTGATGTGGAGCTCAAGGATCGATTGTCGCTTTCACAATTCCTGAAAACAACCCTACCAATGTATTGAAAGTTAGTAATCATATCATAAAATAAGAAAAATACACAAAAACCATAAAAACAGGTAAGCAAAAAGTGAAATGGGGCTCATAACATAATACGACGTTGTTGCGGTAATTCTTGGTCACCCTGTACAGTAGACTTGTTTATTGACAAGATTAGTGCTAAATATTCTAGGATTTGTAGTTATTCCACGGCTTTTCTACCGTAATCGATTTTCTATGCCGCACTAACTTTGATCGATGAGCAATTTAGGGGATAGGCTACTTTGCGCCATTTTATTTGCGCAACTGGGTCGCTTGCGCAACTCACCATAACTTTCTTCTAAGTAGGTCAATCTTTATCATTTTGATGTCATTTTGTTGCACTTATTGAGATCTACAAAATGACATCAAAATGATAGAGATTGGCTAACTTAGAAGAAAGTTATGGCGAGTTGCGCAAAAGACCCAGTTGCGCTTGGCGGAAATTAGCCTACCCCCCAATTTAGTCTACAGAAGTCAGAAGCTAGATCAAGGCCTTCTCTTCTGCATAAAGATTTAGTTTTATGTAACTTTCGGCTAGAAATTTCTTCTCTAATCGTGTTGTTGGATATGCTGGAATGCTCTTTCATCCCACATTAAAGAGATTTGAAACTTAAACACTTTTAGCAGAGCATTACATTCATTCTATCAAACTCGTAAACTAAATTGAGTCTTTTACAACTATTTACATTTTAAACCTTTTGAGATTTACATTTACTGAAACTTTTCTAATTGTACAGGGAGTTCAGTATTTACGGCGACTTCCTTTTGACCCCCTCTTTTTTTGGAGCTCTCAAGCGCCAAGTTTAACCCTAATATGTTACATATTATATAAAATATTGAAGCCCTTAATCTTAGCTACATTTATCTATTCAAAGTTTCTCGATTAGAATTATACAAATCATTTTACATTTATCTATTCAAAGTTTCTCGATTAGAATTATACAAATCATTTTACAAGCCTTTGAATGAGTACTATCAACTAGTATCAATTAGTACTCATTCAAGGGCTTGTAAAATGATTTGTATAATCTCCAAACGGGAAACTTTTAATACATAAATATAGCCAAGATTAAGGGCTTCAATATTTTATATAGCATGTAACATATTAGGGTTAAACTTGGCGCTCGAGAGCTCCAAAAAAAGAGGGCGCCAAAAAGAAGTCGCCGTAAATACTGAGCCAATGCATTTGTGTCATTGTAAACTTTTTTCATTCACAGTCTTCCCATATCATATTGTGGCTTTAAAACTTTTTCTGTACGCTTTATTATATTTAGTTAAAGTTCCTTTAAAGTTCCTAATTGGTTCCTTTAGAGTTCCTATTTAGTTCCTTTATAGTTCCTTTATAGTTCCTTTATAGCTCCTTTATAGTTCCTATTTAGTTTAGTTCCTTTATAGTTCCCATATGATATTGTGGCTTTAAATCTTTTTCTGTACGCTTTATTATATTATATACGGTTTATTTCATGTCTTGAGTAAATTACGAATATAAAAGTAGCCTCTTTTCCTTTGTTACTCAAACGCAGCACTCCCAGGTGTCCACCAATTGTCTCCTTTTGTCAATGGCCATATCAAGTGTCGAT